ACTGGCCTGGAATTAGCTCTGTAGAGCAGGCTGGCCTCAAATTAAGAGAGATCCCCCTGCCTCTGCCTCCTGAGTGATGGGATGAAAAGCATGTGACACCATTACCCAGCTTAAAAATTACTTTTTAAAAGAGTAAAATAATGACATGTCTGCAACTGTCAGATGGTTCAGAATAAAGTGCACGTAGATGTGTATGAACAAACCATAAAGCTAATATCCACAGAGAAACTTTAACAAGCGGGCCAGCAAGATGGCTCAGTGAGTAAAGGCACTTGCTGCCAAGCCTGACAGCCTGAATTTGATCCCATATGGTGGAAAAAGAACTAACTCCACAAGTGGTCTTCTGACTTCTACATGTGTGCTGGAGTATGTGTATCCCAATACATAAATAGCAATCAATTTTTAAAAAGTTTTTAACAAGTAAGGTCTAGTGAGATGCCTTAGCAGGTAAAGGAGCCCGCCACCAAGCCTGATGATCTGAGTTCAATCCCAGGGACCCACAGAGTGGGAAAAAAAGAACTAACTTCCACAGGTTGTCCTGACCCCCACATGTACACCAAGACATACATATACTCATAGATAATTAAAATGTAATAAAAGTTATGTTAACAAAGGAGCTAGGTGTAGTGGCACCCAGTATAAACCAGCACCTGTCAGGTTAAGGAAGGAGGATCAGAAATTTAAAGACAGCCCAGGCTATAACGTGAGAACTTTGGTTGGTTGGTTTTTAAATAAAGTCTTTTAAATTTATTTATTTTTATTTCATTACATTCATGGTTTCCTTGCATGTATGTCTGCGTGAAGGTGTTAGATCCAATGAAACTGGAGTTACAGGCAGTTGTGAGCTGCCATGTGGGTGCTGGGAATTGAACCTGGGTCCTCTACAAGAGCAGCCGGTGCTCTTAACTGCTGAGCCATCTCTCCAGGCCATTTGTTTGTTTTTAAACTGGGTACTGGAAATCACAATTGTAACCTCAGCATTTGGAAGGTGGAGGATAGATCTCTTCAGCTCAGTTTGTTGTTTTACTTTATTTTTGAGATCGGCTCTCACTGTGTAACAGACTGACCTGAGACTTGCTATGAGCTGGGGCTGCCCTTAACCTTGTGATGCTCCTCTTGCTGCTAATCCTAAATGCTAGGATTACAAACCTGAGCCTAAGTGAACTTTAAAGACTATGGAATCTACGCTATAGGTAGGCAGTTACCTAGTATCCCTTAAGTAATTCATTACTGGACTGAAGCTGTCTTACTATTTGAAATTTAACCTGTAAAGTGTGCTTAATGTGCTGAGTCAACTTAATGAAAGCAAACAACCGCTTTGGAAAACAGAATCCTGAATAAACAGAACAAAATGATCTATTGACACTTTCCTTAAAAGCACACAAAAACACCAAAAAACAGAACAAACAAAAAAGTGAGCTGTATCTATTCATTGCTACACACTTAACTTACGAACGAAATGACGAACAAAATTGCTAAACTCTTCTATGCTTAAAACGTCATCAATTCATGTTCTGAAAAACTAAACTTTGATACAGAAAAACTGAAAGCTTCAAAGTCAATGAACACTTTAACTTGTACCTTGCGCTTCCTAGCTAGCCAACAAGCACTCTTCCTAAGCCCATTGCTGGGTTGTTGTGTATCTTTTGCTTCTCTTTCTAAATCTCCATATTGCTAGCTGTAAAAGGACAGCACTCCTAACGCATACACACTACAGAAGACAAGGTCCATCTGTTCAACTCAGACTATACACTACATAGGCAAAGCCACAGCAGGCTGCAGAGGCTCAGCAGTTAAGAGCTTGTACTGCTCAGGCAGAGAACCTGAGTTTGCATCCCAGCACCACATCAGGAGGCTGACGGTGGACAGAAACTCTAGCTCTGGAGGATCAGATGCTCTCTTCTGGCCTCCAAGAACACTGCACGCACATGCGCAAAACCACAAAGACATATACACACATTAACTGATTTTTTTTCGAGACAGGGTTTCTCTGTGTAATTCTGGCTGTCCTGTAACTCACTATGTAGCCCAGGCTGGCCTTGGACTTGGAGATCCGCCTGTCTGTCTCCTGAGTGCTATGAGTAAAAAGTCATTCACCACCACTGCCAGGCATAAAAAAAAAAAAATAATTTTTAAGCCTTTAAAAAAAAGGGGGGGGCATGAGTTGGGAATGTAGCTCAGTTAGTAGAGTGTTCTTCTAGCATGCGTAAAATCCTGAGCCCCATCCCCAGTACTGCATAAACCAGGGTGCGGTGTCACTAAACCAGGGTGTGGTGTCACAAGTCAAAAGTTCAGCTGTGGGAAGTAGTCAAGGTCACTCTTGCCTGCTTAGTGAGTTCCAGGCTAAATCTTGAACACAAGAGACCCTACCTTAGGGGTGGGGTGGGAGGGAACCAGAAAACAGGAAAAAAGACTGTCTAATGACTGGGAAAGAGCTAAATTATGGTTTAAACAATCAGACAGAAAATGAGTGGGAAAGAAAGGTCATAAACATTGAGGACCCACCATCATATAAATGAATAAAGTAACAGAATGTGTACAGAGAAAGTGCCTCAAGATGATGCACTAAGACGCTCAACATTTAGACACCAGTAAGGGAAGAGGAGTAAGAAAAGGACTCCCAAGCAGTAGGAGGAAGGGGGAAATCCAGGGGCATGTCAGGGAGCTGAGAATTTCCAGGGTTTCTGGCAATAGCTACTGAGAGGTGGAGAAAGCTGAACCAGGCAACCTGAGCTACACAGTGAGAGACCCTCATCTCAGATACTGAAGGGCTAGTCTGATGTGGTGGCTTGAGAGGTGGAGACAGGCTATCAAAACTCCAAGATCATCCTCTGCTAAATAGCATTGCGTTCAAAGCCAGCCTGGGCTACTTATGACTCTGTATCAAAAAAGCCTGACAAACTGTAGTACATATAACAAGTAAACAGAAAGCCAGGCGGTGGTAGCCTTTAATCCCAGCACTCGGGAGGCAGAGGCAGGCAATTCTCTGTGAGTTCGAGACCAGCCTGGGTCCAGGCCAGGCTCCAAAACCACAGAGAAACCCTGTCTCGAAAAACCAAAAAAAAAGGAGGCGGAGGTGGGGAAGAGACAGAAATATTTAATAAAGAAAGAAAGAAAGAAAGAAAGAAAGAAAGAAAGAAAGAAAAAAAAAAAAAAAGACCCTAAGAGAGAAATACATAGATATGCCTAGGAAGGAGAAAAAAATCAAGATCTCCTGAGTAAATTGGGAGCATGGGGGACAGGGGTGAAGGCAGAAGGAGAGAGGGGAGCAAAGAAGAGGAGTGAGGAAAATGTATAGTTCAGTTAAAAACAATAAAGTATAAAAAATTAAAAAAAAAAAAAAAAGTAAACAGAACATAAAGATGAATGTTAATAACACAATTTAGGTATGTCAACCATGTACACATATCAAGTCCACAGGTAGAGTAGATGCAAATCATTCCATCTGCACATCAAATCATTTAAAAAAAAAAAAAAGTATGGAGGAAAAACTGTTAGGATGGCTTTGCTGGTGGGAGAGTAACTGCCTAGAATGTTCAGGACACTGCCATTCCAAACACCACACTACGAGGATGGGGGGGGTTGGCTCGGTGCTAAAGTGCTTGCCTAGTTAACCCTAGTTTCCATCCCCAGCACCACAAATAATAGCAGCAATAATAAATGTGAGGAGGGTGCCATTCAGTGGTACCCGCCTAGCATGTGCAAGATTCTTGGATACCATTCCCAACATCATAAAATGATGGTAATGATGATGATGGCTAGGGAGGTATATAGCTCAAAAATTTGCCTAGTTGATTTTTTTTTTTTTTTTGATTTTTCAAGACAGGGTTTCTCTGTAGCTTTGGACGCTCTGTAGACCAGGTTGGCCTCAAACTCACAGAGATCCGCCTGCCTCTGCCTCCCGAATGCTGGAATTAAAGGTGTGGATCTGCCTAGTTGATCTTAATTGCAAACTTGAAACAGCCTAGCTTCTTCATCTGGAGAAGAAGCCTCAATTGAGGAGCTGTCTCTTTGTCAGGCTGGTTTGTGGGCATGTCCATGAGAAACTGTCTTGATTATTAAGTAGCACAAGAGTACAGCCCACTAGAGGTGGCACCATCCTTGGGCAGGTGGCCCTGGGCTGTATAAAGAAGTTAGGAAAAGCCAGAGAGTATACCAAATAGCAGAGTTCTTGAATGCTTTCTGCTTCAGGTTCCTGTCCTGACTTCTCTCAATGATAAATTGTGTCCTGAAGTGTAAGATGTAATAAAGCCCGCCACGTGGTGGCACACACCTTTAATCCCAGGAGTCAAGGAGCCAGATGCAGGCGGATCTCTGTTGAGTTAAAGGCCAGCCTGGTCTACAGGGTGAGGTCTAGGACAGTCAGAGATACAGAGAAACCCTGTCTCAAAAAAAAAAAAAAAAAAAAAAAAGCAATAAACCCTTCTACCCCTAAGTTGCTTTTGCTCATGGTGTCACACAACAGAAAGGAAACTAGTACACCTGGTATGTTCACAGCCCTGGTTATCAGTATCACAAAATAACGACGGACCGAATGGCTGGGGCTGCAGCTCGGTGGCAAAGCCTTTGCCTAGCACGTGCGAACTCCTGGGTATCATCTCCAGCATTACAAAACGATGATGATGGTGGCTGGGGGGATATGGATCAGCAGTAGAGTGTTTCCCTAGCATATGCAAAGCCCGCATCCCAAAATGGTCATTGTGACTGCGAGGTACTTCGGGGGCAGACTACTTGCGGACTACTGGTAAGGTCTTGACTTTCAAACCCAGAAACAGAAAAAGAAAAAAAAAAAAAAAGAAAGAAAGTAAAGAGGGAAGGAGGGAGGGAGGGAGGGCAGGAGGGAGGAAAAAAGAGAAAGAGAAAGAGAGAAAAAGAAAGAAATATTCCTCCCACATTCCCCTCCCCTAACGAATGTGGGAGGGGAGCCGGTTGCCAGGCCAGCAGGATCCCTTCCTTGCCGCCCCGGCATCAGGTACTTCCGGCCCGTCCGCTCCGCCCACCCGTCCAGCTCGCGGTCCGGAGGTCCAGCCGCCAGCCGCCTCATGGTCCCCAGATGAGTCAGGTTTCCCTTGGACTAGTCGCTTACACTTCCATGTCGCCTCTGCTTCGTCGTGCAGCCGCTGGAATGGACGAGCCTCACGTTGCGCCGCCGCCGCACGACGCTCCGGCGCTGTGCGTGCCGCAAGGCACTGTGGGACGGCCTGCTGCCCTCCGCGGCCGCGGGGCCGCCGCAGGGCGGGCGGGGCTCCTCCTTGGTCCTAGGTGTCTTACGGTTTTTCACTTTCAGCCTGTCGAGTGTTTGGAGACAGAGTTTAAACACCTTCGTGGTCTAGGTTTTGATAGTGTTTTAATAAGATAAGGTTCCCGCCTTGGAGGCGTTAAAAACCCCCAAGCGCCGGGCGGTGGTGGCGCACACCTTTAATCCCAGCACTCGGGAGGCGGAGGCAGAAGGATCTCTGTGAGTTCGAGACCAGCCTGGTCTACAGAGCTAGTTCCAGGACCGGCACCAAAGCTACAGAGAAATCCTGTCTCGAAAAACCCCCAAAAAAATAAAAAAATAAAAACCCCCAAGCCGGTCATGTTCGCTCATACCTGTTATTCCAACCCTAGAGAGGTTGAAGGAAGCAGGGGGATTGCCACGAGTTCCTGGCCAGATTCATAGTGAGTTTCAAGTCATCCTGGGCTATTGGAGACCCTGTGTTAAACGAATGAATGAATAAAATTAAAAAACAAAACAAACAAACAACAACAACAACAAAAAACAAGCCAGGAATGGTGGCACACGCCTCTAATTCCAGGAAGGGGAGGTAGAGGCAGGCACATCTCTGAGTTAGAGACAACCAGGGCCACACAGAAAATGGGAGGGAGGGAGGAAAGGAGGGAGGGAGGGAGTTGGAAAGATGGCAAAGCAGTTAAGAGTATTTCCA